GCCATTACATATTTAAAGAACGTATTTGGAAACATCCTTGTATAGATGCCATTACATATTTAAAGAACGTATTTGGAAACATCCTTGTATAGATGCATTACATATTTAAAGAACATATTTGTAAACATCCTTGTATAGATGCCATTACATATTTAAAGAACGTATTTGTAAACATCCTTGTATAGATGCCGACTTGTGATTGATTATCGACAAAAAAATAAATAAATCAATCTGCGAATTTATTAAGCTGAAGTAATGGAACACCTAGGGTAGTTTGAGACTGAGAACCGGGGTATATATACAGAATTATTACCAATAAGTTATGGTTTAGGTTCTGATACCAATGTTTCAATCAGTGATTTTGGGAAATGTTATTTTAAAAGAATACCAAAAGTTATTGATAACCGATATTGTATATGTCACCATTACAAGTACAATCTAACGTATTCATAACAAATAAACAACGCCACCTACCGACTACTTCCAGGTATGCAGGTTTCGTTTTAAAGATAGGGGTATTAATTTGGCACATATAGTAACCGCTATCTTCCTCTGTCACGTTTCTAATCTTCAGTTGCCACGTTCGGAGATTGTCATGCGATACACTGTACCGGTCACTTCTCAAGATCACCTTGGTGTGTACTGCTATCAAAGTCTGATTTTTTACTAGAAGCCACGCCACCTAGTGGTATAACATTTTAATGCTATTAATGTCAATTAATATAAAAGGGTAATGTAAGAAATTGATTTAACAACAGGCGAGAGCAGGATGTCAATTGGATCCCTGGGATAATGTTACGTCACAGAACGAGAAATGTTAACTGTTTACCAAATTCAAACATCCCGAAATACATGAAAGATGTAATGGCATCTATACAATAACGATGTGGCGTTATCATAGGGTTTGAATATAACGATGTGGCGTTATCATAGGATTTGAATAATTTGTAATTATCCAGATTTATTTATATCACATAATATAAATACAGAAACTTTGCAAGATATACTTTTAAATTAAATATTTTTCACTGCGAATTATCCTACGCTTAAACTCATACGATCATTAGATTACCAATAGTAATGGATCAATTTAGTTGCAACGCTGTCACGATTATCAGACTAACAAAGTTTAAGGGATCAGCTTAGGTGCAACGTTGTAACGATCATTAGATTAACAATAGTAATGGATCAATTTAGTTGCAACGCTGTCACGATCATCAGACTAACAAAGTTTAAGGGATCAGCTTAGGTGCAACGTTGTAACGATCATTAGATTACCAATAGTAATGGATCAGTTTGTAAACTTTGACTTTTTGTTTCTTTCTTAATTTTAGTTTTAAAATTCGACTTTTTCTCCTACCTTCTTTGTCTCCAAGTTTGAAACTTCTCGAGTCTTCTCTGCACCACTTGATCAACGGAACCGGATTCCCCGTGGCGTTACACGTCAGGGTGACGTTTTGCATGTACTCCATAACACTTGTACTGTTACTCGTTGTACCGACATCAAATGAAGGCGGCACTGCCATGAAAAAAGAAACTTATTCGGCTAGAACTATATCCAAAGAGTGGCCACAAACAACTTTGCAAGCTCTGAAAACGTCACATGTAATTCAGTAAACCTACAAATTAACTTAAACAGAAGCAGACTCGCTTTGCATTAGACTCAAATGTAATCCAGAAAAGTGGATTTCTTTGAATAACACTTCGCTCTAATCCAAGAGATACTGCAATCTGGATTGAAGACAAGTGGATTCACTCTGAATTACACTTCTCTGTAATCCATAAAACGTGTTCTGAAATGCAGATAAGTGGATTCACTCTGGATTACACTTCTCTATAATCCATAAAACTTGTACTCGAATGCAGACAAGTGGATTCACTCTGGATTACACTTCTCTGTAATCCATAAAACATGTACTGGAATGTAGATAAGTGGATTCACTCTGGATTACACTTCTCTGTAATCCATAAAACATGTACTGGAATGTAGATAAGTGGATTCACTCTGGATTACACTTCTCTGTAATCCATAAAACTTGTACTCGAATGCAGACAAGTGGATTCACTCTGGATTACACTTCTCTGTAATCCATAAAACGTGTTCTGGAATATAGACAAGTGAATACATTCACATCTGATAATCTTCAAAATGGCGATTTTAAAAGGAAACTTCTACCAATTAGAACCTATGTTGGTCGTCTTATCGGTCGAAACAGGTGAACCAGAATAACGATGTGGCGTTATCATAGGGCTTGAATATAACGATGTGGCGTTATCATAGGGTTTGAATATAACGATGTGGCGTTATCATAGGGTCTGAATATAACGATGTGGCGTTATCATAGGGTTTGAATATAACGATGTGGCGTTATCATAGGGTTTGAATATAACGATGTGGCGTTATCATAGGGTTTGAATATAACAACAACATCGCTCGAAAGTTTGGTGCTACTGTCAGCTATGAATCATTTTCTAGAAGAGCAAAGAACTTTGTTGTACTCTACAGGAACGGTTATAATGGCTGACTTAAGGTTGTAATCTACAGGAACGGTAATAATGGCTGACTTAATGTTGTACTCTACAGGAACGGTTATAATGGCTGACTTAAGGTTGTAATCTACAGGAACGGTAATAATGGCTGACTTAATGTTGTACTCTACAGGAACGGTTATAATGGTTGACTTCATGTTGTACTCTACAACAACGGTTATA